TTAAACAATATTTGGTAAGTAATTGTATATTTTGTTTTTAGAGGTAATAGTATTAACATTTGATATATTTGCATAGATAGATTTCGAAAGCAGTGGCCCATCGCATGAGTCTGCACAAAATATATTAAATGGCGAAGCTGAAAGTAATAAACGATCAAGAGAGGCCTCACCTCATGATTCCAATCCTGAAACTTATTTCCAAAAAAGTCCATCGATGTCACAAGAAGAGATGGATGAATTGTTTGAAATCGAGTATTAGCGATAGTTTTTTTTGTAATTTTTTTCTTTGTATTATGTTTTTTCTTTAAATTGCATTATTTTTTGTTTTTTTTCTTTATATTGTTCTTTGTCTTTGTATCATGTTTTTTTTAATGTTAATACAAGGTTTTAATATCAACTATATGCATGTAATAAAGGTTATATTTAATAAAACCAGTTATTGCTTTAAGCATTTTTAAAAATAGCATCATTGTTGCTTTATTGCTATAAATTAGTAGTATAAAATTATTTGATAAATATTGATATATATTAGATTTTTTATATAATCAATTAATAGTGATTTTCTGTTATAACAGCTATATATCGATGTTTATATCAATCGATATAACCCAATGGGGGGATTATTATCGGTATATATCCGCATAGATAATAATCGATACATATCGGCCTATAATTTTTGCTGATGATGTTAGAAGACTTTGCAACGAATGAAATTTCTAACAGCCAACTTCAAATTAATAGGTCCTTCTTTACATAAAACATCTTCTTGAACAACATCATAAATGACTAAATGACTTCAATCTTCTTATACTTATTCTATCATATGATCTTCAAATGAACTACCAAGACTCATACTAAACGAATTAAATATTCCTGTATCAGCTAAAGATTTGGAAAAAATTAGACTATTAAATAAAGAGCAAAAATTAATATTTGATACTGTAATAGAAAGTATTAAAAAAAATAAATCTATTGTAATTTTCGTTAATGGACTTGCAGGTATTATTATAATTACAATAGTAATCATATATACAGTTTTATATAAATAATATAAATAATAAGTTTATCATTACAATAATAAGTACTAAAAAACTAATAAAATTTTTACAATTTCATTATCAACCTATTAAAATAAACTTATAACCACCTTAGGTTCAGGAAAAACTTTTCTTTATCTTTTTCTAATTGCTAAAGTTCATTTGACGCACTCAATTGCACCTGCAATGGCTTCATCAGACATAGTGGCCTTACTTATGCCAGGAGGACAAACAGCTCATTCTAAATTTAAAATACCCTTGAATATAAACTCCAACTCGACATGCTCTATAAGCAAACAGAGTAATTTAGCTAATTTACTTAAATTAGTAAAATTAATAATATTGAATAAAATTTCAATGATGAACTGCTACTTTATAGAAGCACTTGATAAGACTTTACAAGATATTATGAAAAACCATGACCTATTTAAAGGAAAAATATTCATATTAAGTGGAGACTTTTGCCAAATTCTATCTGTAATCCCATAAGGCAGCTGCGTATAAATTGTAAATGCAATTTTCAAATCCTCTTCTCTATAGTCTAAAGTAAAAATATTTCATCTTCATTATAATATGTGCATTAAGAATAATTCCGAAGCAAACAATTTTAATAATTTTTTGATAAGAATTGGAAATGGAACAGAAGAAACTATCAATAATAACATGATTCATGTAACAAATAACATAATAATCAATTGGAATGATGAAAATTCATTACAGACTTTTATAGAAGAAATATACCTATTATTATCTGTTTGCTCTTTAAATGCTTCTTACTTCACGAACAAAACCATACTCACTACTAAAAATGAATATATTGATGATATTAACAGTAAAATGTTAAATCAACTTCCAGGTAAAATCATAACTTATCAAAGTTTTGACTCAGTTTCTGATGACATCCATAATCTTTATTAGCAAGAATTTCTCAACTCAATTACTACATTAGACATACCTTCTCATGAATTACAACTCAAAACCAATACACCCATTATTTGTCTTCACAACTTAGATCCAATTAATAGCTTATGCAATGGTACCAGATTGATATGTCGAACATTTAATTATAATATTATAGAAGCAGAAATAAATATAGGCAACCAACAAGAAAATGAGTATTTCTTTCTCAGATAACATTTGTAACTTTAGACATTAAACTTCCTTTCATGCTTAAAAGAAAATAATTTTCAGTAAAATTAGCTTTTACCCTAACAATTAACAAATCTCAAGAACAGACTATACCACATATAGGATTCTATCTACTGAAGCATGTATTCGCTCATAGTCAACTATATGTTGCCTTTTCATGAACTCGAACTTATTATAACATTAAAGTCTTAATAAAAGATAGCAAAATTACTGGCAAGCAAGGCATTTATACACAAAATGTCATGTACAAGAAAATCTTACAAGATTAAATAGTAACTAACAACTTATATTAGTACTGTTCAAAAGTACTTCGCTAACAATGCATGAAACACAGATGAAAAACAATATTGTTAAAATAACAATTAATATCATACTTGACATAGTATTTATTAAATCAAAAATAAATGTATCATTAACAAAAATTGAACTATTAAATAAACTCTGGTTCTAACAAAACTGCAAAAACTACAATCAAAAATTGAATCTAAAAGTATTCTTAAATTTGATTTTTATTCAAAACCAAGAAAATATACAAAAAGAATAAATGAAAAAAGGCATAAAAAAACTACTATAAATTTATAAAAACAAAAAAAAAAAAAACAAAACCAATTACATAAAACTATTACTGTTTATATAATATAATATAATAAAAAAAAAACTTTCTTAAATTCGTAACAAAAATAAACATACAAAAAATAACAACACATATACAAAACTTTCTTAAACTTTAGAAAAACTTGCATCTGAAGTATGAGACCTTAAATTACAACATAAAGTATGTCCCACACTTTCTTAATCCTTCTGATGTTTACTTTTTTTTTAATAAGAACTATTATTTACAGATTCTTCTGCATCATCTTTCTGACAAAAATCTGCATGATCATTTACTTCTTTTGCATAAAAAGTACCAACTGACCCTTCAGATGCATCACTATGAACTTGCTTTGGTAAACATGAACTATTAACTGAATTTGACTCAAAACCACTACCTAAACCTATCAAAATATTATTTTCAAAATTTCCATTCACATTTTCAGTAAAATATTCACAAGCTGTAGAACTCCATGAACAGAACCATCAAAATCTTTGACTCGAACATGTTTTGATAAATAAAGATTATTCAAAGAACTTAATTCTGACTTATTCGCACAATCACTCTTAGAAGATAAAGCAACTGTCTCATCTTCAAACTTCACTTTCAAATTTCTAAGAAACTTTGATGAGTAGCCAAAAGCTTAGAATGAATATTTTTCTTAAAAGATGAAGTTTGAGAACTACTACAACAAAAACTACTCTTTTTGTTAAGAAACTGTGCATTAATATAATTAACATTCTTAGCATACATGTAGAACTCTTTACTAATTATCTCTATTTGCCCAATGACAAAAATAAAAGACTCTCTGAGTTTAATATTATTTTTTAAAAAACTAAAACAAGAATAATTACACAGAAAAACAACTTTTATACTAAAATTATACTTCTGCCCAGCATAATCTGTCATCAAGGTTTGAATAATACTATCACTATTAATTTTATTCGGTATTTTTTGAGGAATACTGATTAAAGAAATTTTCAATAGACACTTATTCGAAGAATCAACCCTATTATGAATCATTAAATGAGTCGACATAGAAACTGTTATCTAAAAGTCAAAAAAAAATTTTTAAAAAAATTAGCATGCACACAATCATAAACATAAACAATTACCTTTGCTCTTTTATTCCTTTTGTAGAACTCTGATACAATCTTACCCCCAACAGAAAAAAAATTATCATTAATAAACATAGCCTGAGAATCTAAATCTCTATCCACCTAATTAATCAGCACAAATAAAGACATTTCAATATTCTAATTCTCACTATCAACAGGATATGTACCAAGACCCCATACTATCAATGAATTAATATCTTCATTTACATTTTGCTTTATATATTTAATTCTAATGATGGTATCTGCATAATATGACATCATAAAATTTCATATAAAAAGTATAAAAACTCAATGCAAAACATAACTGATGAATAAGTATATATATATAACAGCAAAATATTACAAAGAAAACAAAAAAATAGATCATAATAATATAATTGAAATTCAATTTAATTATGAATTTTATTTTACCAAGAATTACCAAATTATGACAATTTATAAAAAAATAAATATGGGGTTGCGGTGACCTAGTGAAGTAATCTGGTTAGCAATTCACCAAGTGGTAGGTTGGGTGTTCAAATCCCATCACCAGTGAAAATTTGAATAATCACCTATGTAATATTTGTATTACAGCAACTGTTACTAATGATTGGGTAGTAGGATATCTGTAATGGCAGTCACACCAGCATGACTGGCAGGTCATAGGGCATCTGTGCAATGTTGGAGTTATACAAAGGAATGCAAACTGACATATCAAGCAGTGCAAACACTAGATAAGTCCTTGTGGCCATGTAAATCCATTGAAATTGGGTAACAAGAAGTCCATTTGGGAAGACTGAAATAGAGAGGTAGCTAGATCTTTGATGGCCTTACTGTAAAGGCTAGCCTAGAGAAATGGATACCAAGGTCTAGTACTCAGTCCTAGTAGCCAAACAGACAAGAATCTTTGTGTTAGGAGTCTCAGAGGTACTACTAACCAGGCCACTGAAATGAACTGGAGGAAAAGAATATCGGGCTGATCTGATATATTGATAGACTAGTTGTAGTTGTACACAGGTTATCTGGATTGGAAGTTTGGTAAAAGGGCAGAAGAAAAGGCAGGGGTATACTAAAGTACTAGGGTTATGCTGTGAAGTAGATGCTGGGGTCCAAGTGAACTCTACAAGGGCATAGTGGTTTAATGGTTAGTTCTAACTGCAAGTGTTGGTTATGCTATAATGATACTGTTAACATTAAGAGTTTTACACATTTTTGATTATAACTTTTAATGTACCAAACCAATTTGGATAAAACAACCACCATTGGATTCAGCACACTGAGCTGGTTCTAAAGAGCACAAGATCATGTGATTCTGATCACTGGATCCTAAGATCGGCAAAGATTTGTGAAA